TATTCCAAAATTAATTCTAATTATGCTTCTGGGAGCACAGTGAGTATCAGCAGAATATCCATTCTGCCCTGCAGGTTAAGGATAAATTCCCATCCATTTCTTGACTTTTAAGAACTAAATTTAGCCCTTGAACACTTCCAGGTCACATGAATTTGAGATATGAATTAAATTTTAAATCTGTAATACTTTTTCCTGAGCAACTACGGACAGTGTGACAAGAGCTGAACAAGACTAATGAGAAAAGAGAATAAAGCCAAGAGTCCAATTCACTGAGGGCATCAGGGGGCGACTGTAGAAAGCTCTCTTCCCATGGAAGCAACAGTAAAAGTGATTCCACAAATGTATGTGTGTGAATTTATATGTATGTGTGTAAATTCAGTGCTCCTTCACCACCAAAACAAATAAATCTGTATCTTTTGTTGATATTTACGTCTGTTTTTTGTAGGGCTACCAAAGAAACCCAGAGGCAGCACCAAGCAGAACTTGTAAGCACCGCGCTCTGAGACACGCCAGGCTTGTATTTCCCAAAATAAATACTGGTCAAAGCAGAGATAACATTTAGACATTTGCTTTAAAGTGTAGCATCCCTTCCACCTGCCAGTGCTGGCTGCAGAAGATCCAATCTAGTTAGCATATTCCTGACAGGCTGCTGAGAAAGCTCCTGTCAGACACTGGCCAGCCGGGTGCTGAGACGGAGCGCACAGCCCCAGCTGACTAGTTAGGGAGAGACGGCAGAGGTACAATTACAGAGGCATATGACAAGCTTTCATGCTTGAGTGACTTGAGAACCGATGACATGGCTTTAAACAGCAATCCTTCCTACCTCCGGTCACAAAACAGCAATAAGTCAACTGATGCACTGTTGTAAAATCATGATTTATTCCTTTGCTTTGAATACATGAGAGTGTGGTATGATGTTCTGGTAGACTACCACAGCAGGTGCACTTGGGGCCAAAACATCTAGGGCCTGCCTCCAGCATGCATAAAATCAATGCTGTAGCTCAGCCTTCCTGGAAAAGCCAATCCCAGCACTTTAATAATTTATAAAAAGGCCAAATTAAAAAATTATTTGTACTGAAACACATACAGCTCCATGCAACTAATAAGAATACATGCAGATGCATTGACGTGTGAGGAAACAGTGCTGTGAAAGAACATACAGCCTGACATTTATTTAGGAAAGGTCTTCCTTTTGCTGCTAAAGTGAAATAACTAACAGCCATCTCTGTGAGTAGATCAATGCCTTTGTTTCATTCATCCTTTCGCTTAATCCAAAGCCACATAATTTGTTTCCCTTTCATAGTTTACTGTTCAAAAGCCAGAAATGGTAATTTTTGCTACAAACAGATCTTACAGAGCATAATCCTCAGGCAAGCTGAATCCATCTCATTCTAACACTAAGCCTGAAGCAAGCTGTGAGGTTGGTGATAATCACATTATTAAAGTGGTTGGAAAGTCTAGCTAATAAAAGAATCAACAGTTAGAGCAAATAATGACCCAGAAGCTACAACAGAATGGAGTGGTGGGAAGTTTCCACTTGTATCTTGGTAGTAATTGGAAGGACTAGCAGACAAATATCTACACCAAAGGAATTTTGAAAGGAGATAAACCCACAAAAAATCAATTTAAGGATTTAAGGGGAGATGCAATGAAAACACAACTGCAATATTCTGAAGATGTACATAAAACAAAATCTGCTTGGCTGAAATAAAATATAAGCTGAAACACTCTAAAAGATGGTTCTTTTTTTCTGTTTTTAGGGTTTCTTTTAATTAAAAAAAACTCTACTCAGCAACTTAAAATAGGCAACCTTATTTTCTTCTGGTTTTTTTCCTCTACAGTAAACCCTTTTAAATACAGCATCATGTTTTGCCCCCTTTTTTCCATACTAGGACTGATCCTTTACTTGAATAAAATGGCAGCATGAAAGTAACAGGGCAGAAATGGTAGACAAAGAATTCCTGAACATAAGTAAGTGCACTTTTCCATTCCTGGCCCTACAAGAAGGGTGAGGAGAAAGTGAGCAAGGCCTTGAATTATGCCTTTTGTTATCAGTCACTGCCCTGAGATAGTGAACCGAAACAGAGCTGATAACTTGAAGGTGACATCACAACCCAGTCTCCATGAACTGACATAAACACTTGATATTCTGTTAACCCCAAAGATAAGACACAACTCCCTTAACAGAAAGTTGTGTTTGACTGCACTTTTTTTGAACAAATAATCTTGTCTGGTATCAAGCTGTAATTCAGGAATATCAAAATAGGAACTTTGTACCAGTCTGCTGTGTTTTGCATGCAACAGCAAAACAGCACAAAACTTGCGCAAAGGATGATGCCCAAATACACTCTATTTGCTTACTGTACTACATCAAGCAATCCCGATGTTAAAGAAGAAATATCTTTTGCCAAAAACACATTTAATCATTCTTGGCAATTCAATTAAATTCTTGCAGGCAATACTGGAAAGTGTTTCATTAACTTTTTAAGCTATATTGCTCTGCAAAGAAGCAAGCATGCATCACCCCTATTCTGTTTATGAAAGACATGAGCAGGCAGCACTGCTGTGAACTGAAGCTCTTAAGAAGTCAGATATATTTTTCTATTTCTTTTTTTATCAGAACTCACTAGTGCAAGTGAAAATTAACCAATCCTGTATCAAAAGTGGGTCCAACATGATGTGGCAGTAATTTTCTTCAGCTATGAGTTAAATAATGCCAATAGACTGAAAAAGCAATCAGAGAAAAAGTAAAGCTGATGTGCTCTCATTTTGGATTTGACCTGCAAGCTACTCTTTACATTCACAGCTTGGGGACACTCTCCAGGACATCCAAACACCACTACAAATGTCTGGAAAGTGACAAAAATTATTTTCAAGTGAAGACACCAGCAAGATGGCTTTTAATTCATTAAAAGGTTAGGAATAAACAGGCAAAGGTAAACAAAGGTAAACAAAATTCTCACCACCAGAATATTCTATCTGTTGTTGTGTAATGGCTTCCAAACAGAAATCTGATCATTTAAATAAGGTGGTCTAGACCAGCACAGTTTAATTCTGGTACTTCCTCTTGTCTTGTCACATCACAGCACTAGAGACCAGCTGAGATGTTCAGCCTAACAAAAACAAGTCCTAAGCAGATCCAAATGTAGGCTGAGAGAACAATTCTAAATCGTGTCGGGCAGACGGACACGTGCTCACCTGCAGAACGAATCTTCCACGAGCTCAGAGCTGCCATCAGGATTCCTATCTCCTCTCCACTGGAGCAGTAAAACAGGGCTGACTGGGGCATCATTGGAGCTGAGCTTTTTAAATGGTTATTCCTTCTTTTCTTTTCCCCCTTTTTTTTCCCTTTAAATACAGCAAGCTCTGTTTCAGACTAGCAAAGTGAAAAAAAATTCTGATTCCCAGTTTTGCTATATCATGTGAGCTTCTGTTAAGACAGCTTCTTTAAAAGGGCTTTCCCTTCAAAATCTATTTGCCCATTCAGGTCTTATTACGATGTGGTAATGCACAATTCTTTCCCTATCCATTTCAGGAAGGGGAGGGGACCATGGAGAGGAGGAAAAAAGCCCCTGTAATAAAACATGGAAATTTCCTAAGAAAAAGTAACATCTTTGATGGTTAAAAAGTCTATCATAGACTAGTCATGTGAAGATTATCTAAATTAATTTAGTATTTATTGTACTGGCTTTCAGTTGTTCACGTGGCCTGTGCTTATAGAATCCCATGTTTGCATCACTCCAGTTCCCAGGACTGACTTGGCTCCACACCCTGCAGAGCACTGGGCAAGTGCTGCCCTTGTGCACTGCCCTAACTGCAGCACTGCCCTAACTGCAGAGATGCCCACCGACCCAGGGACCAGGGTTTACTTTTTTAAACACCATGCTGTTTAAAAAATTAAGGCCATTAAATAATTGCTACTGAATTGTAAAACCTGTCAGCCTTTTACAGCAATTCCGAACCTTCTCTATCTTCAATTTACTTTTGACTCAAAAAAATTGAAAGAATTTTTATCCATTATTTACAATCAAAGAACTCTCACTCCTTACAGCACCTTCAAGTCTTTGAAAACAATATTTTAGTACTATATCCAACCTTACACACCCATGTGTTCATTTATTTGGCAGTGCAATGAGCAGTGCTCAGAAATACAGAACCGATTTTCCACCACAGAGAGCATATTAAACAATATGTTCTAGGCAGTGTTTTTCAAAAAAATTTAGGTAATTGTGCTTAATAGGCTAAAGATTCTGCATAAGAATTATACTCTGTGATTAAAACTTGGTTATAAAGTGAGTGTCTTGTACTGATGAGTATTTTCAAAATACAGGGGATTTTAAAATCTGTAAGATTCTGTGAAGAGTAAAATAAAATGGCATCTGAATACTTATGTACACTTTCCAAACAAAATGCAACATTCTTTTATTAAGCAGCCTAAGCAGGCATAAGGAAGGAAAAGAAACATTTTAATGTGGACATTAGCTCAAAACCTTTAATTAAAAAACTGCTATTTTGAGTTGTGCATTACTGACAGTCTGAAGAGCTGCTCCAAATCAGAGATATTACAGTGTGCGCTCCCAAACCACTCTAACAAAGATGAATCTACCTATTACCAGGTTAGGAGAGCAGCTATTATTAGGGACCCTTGATTTCTTTCAAGTAGCTCCAATGGAATAAGCCACAAGTGAATAATAAAGATCTTATAATAGCTCTTAAGAATTCTTTTTAGGTTAGAAGGCACAGAAATGAACTCAGGAGAGTTAAAGAACTCTCATCTCCTGATAAGAAAAATAATTAACCTGACTTAATGTATCTGAGTAGGTCTTACATAAATCAGACTTTTATACTTCAAGAGCCAGACTAAAACCATATATTAGAAGAGTATGTAGATATTGTCTTATAAGTACACATGGAACATATCTAAAACCACAAAGGTCTGCAGGTCTTTTTGTGAAATGTTCAATATATCCTACTTAAAAGGAGATGTGTGAAGTACTTACAGTGCTTAGTTTGCTGGAGGTAATAATGATTCGTCTCTCATGCAACATACTGGCATAAAGTTGCAGCATGTTGTTCACATCCACAGCAACAAAATATTCAGTGAGGTTTCTCTGTTTGAATAAAAAAATGTTAACAATATAGCAACAGTAATAGTCAAGTGGAACATCTGATGTCTATTACTTGTGAACATTTTTGTCTAATTAGTAGGTGGGAAAAAAAACCAACCCCAAACTATTAAAGAAATCCCTTTGCACCAAAATTTGTTTGCCTTAAAAATAATTAATTGGGCTTTAAAGCAAATGAAAAGTTAACTGTGGTGTAAGCTATTAATATTTTGCTCATTTCATTACACTTGGGACTTAGATTTGTCCTTCCATATTTGCAAATTCAAAAAAATATGAGATTGGGTATTATATCAATATATGCTTTTAAGGTGACCACTACTTCAAGCCCAGGAACAGATCTTCCACCACGGTGGTAACTGTTCTGTCACAGCTAAGCAATAAAACTGCTCCTTTGCCAGGGTCTCCCAAAGTCAACACACTTTACTCCATTTCAAGTTTAGCAAAACAGCTTGTTGAGCAATAACAAGCTTTTGCTTGAGCTGTGTGTGCCAGGACATCAAACATCCCACAGAACTGGTGGAAGGTGCTGGAGTCTTCCTGCAGCCACCCTTTTCACCCCTGCTAAGAATCCCACTGTGGGGCTTCATCAGAGGCAAAGCCACCAGCACGTTCCATTAATAGTTCAGATATCAGAAAAGTGGGGGGAAAAAAGAGAAAAAAGGTGGGGGGATCTCTGTGTTCCAGCTGAATGTAACAATTATTTCTGCAGGGTACAGCACCAGAAACACAGAAGTTCTGACTAAGCTAAAATAGCTACCAGCAAAATTGCCTAGAACAACAGCAAATTTCTGTAAACATTGGAGAACACGTATGAAAATATACTAATACAGCCCTCAATATGCACAATAGTTAATTTCACACATTGATTATCATATCTGCAACCAGAACTGGTATTCATCTCTTCTCAGGGACAACACCGTTACTGAGTGCTCATGTAGGAAGTCTATCAAGAATAGGCCCCAGCAGAAGGACAGACATCAACAGTGGAATTCTACACTAACATTCTACTCTGCATGTGGCCAACACACAGCAGCAAGGTCATCCCGCCCTGAAAGAAACAGCCAGGGCAGGATGAGTAGGAAAAGCTTCCGAGTGGGGTGACTTCCTTTTTGGATATATTGCAACATTAAAGAAAAAAATAAAATTCAAAAGAAAAACAAAGATCCAGTGGTTAATTCAGTTTCATTCAAATTTGTAAACCCACTATTAATTTCAAGACATGGAGTATCAGAGTTATTCATGGTCCACACTGCACAGAATTTTGGAAGAGATTAAAAGCAGAGATTTGGGGCTAGAAATGCTCCGATTTAGGAAAAAAACCTCTAGTCTTTCAAATGTTACTTTTAAGGGGTTATCAGAGGCTGATGCACCATGAGAATCTCAGTCCAATTTACCTTGGACACCCTCTAACACTGCAGTTGATAATGGTCTGCTGATTCTGTGCTGGAAAAGCTGTGCTAAAAACCAGTTCACAAACTTTTACAGACCAATTTGTCTTTGGGAGACAGTCACAGTTATTTCTTTGTTATAGCTGAAAACTTACTGCTCCTGAAATATGTGGGCCTTACAACAAAAGTTTAAAAAAGTCATTTTATTGCTAATTTACTGTAATTAGCTCATCTCTTCACTGCTTGCATGTTCTAACTCTCCATTAGTACCTTACTACTTTGATTCATACTGAAAGGGTTAGACTTTTATTAGTGGAATAAAAAACAATTATAGAAAGGCACCTTATAATTATTTTACCTTTCTCGAACGAGAAAAATAAATCTACATTGGCATCATTGCAAGATCCTTGATCAGCCACATGCTCAGCTAGATGCTTTCCCATATTTTCTTCAATTTAAGCCCATAACACACCTTCTAGCCTCCAAAAGTCTACTTTATTAGAGCACTAAGTAATAAGAGATTCCTTAAAAATTGAGGCATTCAAAGCATAAGGTGAAACAGATGAAAATATACATTTAAAAACTAAGCCCTGCCCTGCCAAATGAGCCCTAGCAACAAATGTCCTCTTTTATCCCTCCATCCAGCAACTTTGCTTGGTTTCTTGAGCTGTAACATGGTCCATGCCACCTCATCAGTGTTTCCCACCAGCACAGATGCACCCTCAGGCCTCCTCTCTGCTACCAGCACCCTCCTGCTCCTCTCCCCGGGTGTTTCCTGGCTCTGGGTGCTTCCCTGGCACACCCCACCCACATCTCCTGATGCCAAGGGGAGCAGCGAGCAGCTCCCTGCTGCCCCAACACCATCATCCACCAGGAACCAGCTCTGGGGCACTGCATGATTTTGGGAGCCCCCACAGCTTCACTTCCAGAAGGAAGTCACTGTTTGACAGTGCAAAAACACACACCTATACAGCCATGCACAATTCCAGATTTAGAGGCTGGAAGGGGTAAAAAGGATCCCTCAAAGCTCTTTTATGAGATGTTATCTAGCTAAACACATCACAGAGAATGTGAGCTGAGATTTCCCATGTGCAATTTACCCACAACACATTCCAGGATACAAGTCTTCATAAAGAAAATAAAAAACCACAACAAAAAAAATCCCCAGACCCCAGTTCCTGATGCTTGGTTAGCATTCAAGTGTAGGCAGGTACAGCATGTTTTCAAAAAGCCTGAAACAATGCCTTCTTGCACAAAAAGTGACTGCATATCTTGATGGGTGAATTTGCAGCTGAGCAATGCAGTGTTTAAAGGGCAAGTATGCAAATAAAACACAAGGTGCAGAAGTAGAATATATTTTATATAAGTAATCCTAGTAAATGCAAAGAAGCCAAGTAACTACAAGCAAAGGGTGGATACAGCAGTGGTCAGAAATGCCCTGTTAATGCTTTAAAATGAGTTAATGAATGCAACAGTAAGTACCAACTAAAGGTTGCAATAAACGACATCAATCATTTCTAAAAACAGTCTTAGGAAAAAAAAAAATCTCTTGATAAAAGCAAAAGTTCAGCCTAGCCCAAAATGAGGTTAAATAAGAAATGGAATACTTACACTTTCAGGGATAGTTGGCAATCCAGTTACATCAGGAGTAATGAAATACGAGTGCTAATTGATGGGAAAAAATAATTAATAATTTATACACACAGGAAAAAAAATTCTTTTCCTAAGAACCCAGCATTTAGGATTTCCAACCCCATCTGTGTTTAAGCAAATAGCGATTTTTCTAATAACATTCTTACTGCTGCTAGACAAAGAATTAAGCAGATCACGACATGAAATGACAAGCTCTGGTTCTGCACAGCACAAAACCAAGGGAACAAAATGCTGGGCTGCAGTTTTGAAATAAAACTGAAATTAAGCCAGCTTTAAATGTTGTCATGAGCCTGAGAGTAGCATTGATTAAATTAAGCATTGAATTAAAAATTGCAACAAAAAATGCTAAATGACAAAATGTAAATTTAGAATGGAAAAGAAACACCACTCACATGAGAAAAATATTTAGAACAGAAATATTATTACTTGATATAAATTCTCTTTCCAAACATCTTTGAACCAAAAAATGTGGTAACAAAAATGCAAGATCTGAAGCCTGAGATCCTGCAATTATGAAATACATTAGCAATTTTATGCATCTTAGTTTGAGGCCATCTAGGATGTAAATATAAAATGGGTTAAACTAAAACCAGATGTAATGTAAATTAACTCACATTAATCCAATGCTCCTATTAGTTATCAGACATCAATTTAGCTCAGTAATTTAAGGCATTTTTGCATATTATTTTTTTTCTCTTTCAAAATTTAGACTGCCTGCATGCTAAATAAATAATTATTGATTTTTAGCTTTTGTTTTCTACAGAATTATGTTGCTTTTTCAGCCTTTTGTTTTTACTGTATATTTTTGCAATTGTAATTAGCAACACAAAGACATAGCTTTCATAGTTTTCAAGTCAAATTTGAAAAAGATATACCAAAACTAAGACTATAAGACTTAAATGTGTCTTGCATTCAAGAAAAAAATAATAATACTATTAAGTCTGTGTAGGAGACTTATTAAACCAGCTTGATACATTTAATAGAAAATTTTCCCCACAAATTAGGTCATTTGGCAATAGTTAAAATTTAAGGAAAAAAAATGGCTTAAAAAAGGCATCCCATAAACATCATACCACTTGCACAATAAATATCACAGGTATTGTTTCCCATCAACACTAGAAAATTTTTTTTCTTCACTCAAGTAGAGGAAAATATTCAGATTAAATTCAGATAGAATGCCTGCATTTTTCAGAAGTATATTGAGAACAGAAAATTATTCCCTATATGTAATAAGGTCACAGAATATTTATCAAAAGATTTCTCAGTAATGAAGTTATTAACTTAGAGAAGTAATTATTTCTAATTAACAAAGTAATAATATTTCACTCATTAAACAGAAAAGGAAGCCAAATCTATGAGAAGCAAAAGCTATTACTGCAGTCATTAAGAGTCAAAAAGCAGCAAAAATACTGTGTTATAGAGTCCTTGCACATCTTTGTGAACTCCCTTAGGAAGATGAATGACCTTGGAAGAGATACTAAATTAATAGCTGTTGTCCTGTACAAAGTTTTCTCTAAAAAGGACACTGGAAAATGCAAGTTTTGCTCATCAGCTCAAGGGTTTGATTTTGATAGCATTTTTTACCAAAGGATTATGACACACACACACATAGCTCTGAAGATGGATTTAAACAGAAAAGGTACATTAATATTAGATTGGTCATTTAGGCCAAAGACAGCAGCAGAATTCCCCAAAGGACAGGGATAAATAAGCCTCAAATCAACAGAGATGTCCTATAGCAAGTGATTATTTCTGTATTATTATAGCTTTTAGATAGTCAGTGCCTTTTAAACTCACCGATACAAGACAAGGCTGTTTTTTCAAAACTTGCTCACTTGCAAAAATCATCTCTTGGTTCTTATGCAAGATGAGAGAAAGATTGAACAGTTGACTTTTGAGTTTTCCAACAAGAAAGGCCAAAGCTGGCTCTACTGTTTGCAATATTCCATGTTTAAAATATTGGCTGAAAGTAAGTTTTATTCCTTTTATTCCTCCCCCATTTGAATTCAGACTTAGTTAGCCTTCCCAATTATGACAACATTTTTAATAAATTAAAACACAAAAAAGTGACCTAAATTATTTTTAAGCTCAGGTTTCATAGAACACATGACTACTTCATAAATTTCAGCTGCAGACTATTTGTTACTGGGACCAACAGGTGAGAGTACAACTTGGTCCCTAAGTGGACAAAGGCATTCTGACCAAAGATTGCTGGGAAACACCACATATCCAGATACTGGATGTAATTTACGCACGGTTATGCACACACAATCCTAAGGACCACTGTGGTCTGCCACCCAAACCCTCCTGCAGTATTCCATGAGCCTTTACCCGGCAGCACATCTGAGTGAATGAAATCTGAACCAGACTGATCCTGGCACAAAGAAAAGCAACTCAGGATGTCATTTCTACAATTATTTTTTAGACTGTAATTTCTTTTTAAGTCTATGACTACTGATGGTTCCAGTCTTTCTGAGGACCAAGAAAAAAACATCAATACCAAAGACTAGAACTGCAAGTGGTAATAAATATTATTACAGAAACAGAGATGCCTTTAGATCCAACAAGCATTGGGATTCCAGCTGACCCATTCCTCCTGCTCTCCCCTATCTGAACCCACAATATTTGCTCTACTGTCCCTGCAGCCAAGCATTTGACAAGAGGTTTGCATTTCAATAGTGATTGTTCAGCAAGAAAGATTACAAAACTCTTTGATATAACTGGGAACAAGGCATAATTGAGGAAAAACAATTCCAAAGTCAGACAACATTGATATAAAACCAACAAGTATCGACTTTATGGCAAGCAATCTGCCATTTCAGTGTAGCTAGCTGTATTCACCAAGACAGCCACGTCCACATTCCCCACAACATTCATTTTGAGGTGAGCAATTTATGGACAAGATGAACTTTGTGAGAAATACAAGGTAAAATATATTTAAAACTTCTTTATGTCCCTCCTCTTTAAGACAGGAGTTTTAAAGGACATTTTATAAAGCATTTTAGAGTTGCCAAATTATAATTGATTGTAACACTACATTTAATGATAGCAAAATATTATTTGAGATAAAGAAGTATTTTTGGCAAAGGTGCTAGGAACTGAAATGTTACACTGACAACAGAAAGAAAAAACATAACAACAGAAACAATTCCAACTGCAGCCTCAAATCCAACTCATTGTTTTGGTGAAAAACAACACACAAGACTGGAATGACTTCCAAATAGTCAATTAGCATTGTACATGGTGGGAAAATATTAGGTCTCTATAGTCTAGTGAAAATACAAGGAATCTGAAATATGAAAAACTAAAATAAAACAAAGGTAGCATTATGTTAAGCAGTTAGGATCAGTAACTGCTGGAACAGAAGTAGCAGACTCCATTTTTCCTGCCTTCGTAACAAGGCCAGATGCTTTTCTAGAATCTGTGCTTACTTCAATTGAAGTATGGGGCTTATTTCTAAGATACATGAGCTAAAAGTCACAAGAAACCACACAAATAAGGTCAAGATAAATAACCTAATGATATTTCAGTGTGTGTGGAAGTGAAGCTTTTACAAAGTCACTACTTCCTGTGTCCTGCAATGTGTGATGGCTCAACCGAGGCCCAGCTGTTTGCACCCTGTGGCAGGCGCAGTAACTGCACAGATGCTGTGAACATGTAAATGGCTCAGAGGCAGCAGAGGTTCTGTGCTGGCTTTGTATTTCACACAAGCTCTATAAAGGTGTTTAAACATGCACTCACAAGCTAATTCTGGTTAAAACTTCAGGACCCATAACAATGACACATCCACTTTTTGATGTTCCTGCAGCAACACCATCTTGCCCCACTATCACCATCCCATCCCACATCACAAAAAGCTGGAGCACAAAAGCAAAGGAGGCCTGGACACGTTATTTCACCGAGATGTGCTTCAAGTTCCACACAACACAGTGTACTTCTACTGCTCTTCCTACAACATTTTTGTATGATTAAGCAAAACTACGAAAAAGAGGAAAAAAGATGGGAAAGCAGACAGCTTTCACAGACTTTTGACCAATCCTGAAACTGTACCTACTCAGACATAAGAGGCAATAAAACTGAGTTAGTGTCTCCTGATGCACAGCAGGAGAAACCAAAATTGTCTACATGAAACAGCTGGAAACACAAAAAAGGAGTTCTAGCACTGTCAGATCCCACTGCAGTTTACTTTCTCATCCATAGAGCAAAATTCAAATTTCTTCTTTATGACTATGACTTTTAGAAAACAACATGAGACAGAGACAGTCTCTACCCTGCACAGAGGGGAAAAAAAGAGGTTGCCCAAGCCAGTTAATGATGGGAAGCAACACAAATTTACTCTTTCAAAGGGCTGAGGTTTCTTTTTCTTTCAACTTTACCTACTATTTCACAGTCAGTAGGAATAAAACAGAAAAAATACTTACCACACTTAAACTGACTAAAGCATTCGCCTTTGGCACAGGATGGCTATACAATGATTTCAACAAATCATTTGAGTCATTTTCCTATAGGGAATACATTTTAAAGTTAATTATTATATAAAAACTAATTACTATTTACTACGCATCAAACTATATATTGACAAAGAGATATAAATATTTAATAACCAAAACAATTGTATTTCTACTACAGTGAAATACAGACCAAAACCAAGCTCTAATTATAGCATTTGTAAGACTTACATATATTCCACTTCTTGGAATCACACAGCTAATACCAAACTTTCCTATTTATATTTTTACACACAATACCATCATTGTTCATGGTCCATTTACTATAATACATAATTATTGCTTACTCTATTCTTCATATATTTTTGAAATGTCAGCTTTTCCAGTCTACAGCATATGGCTAAATAGTGATGCCTTTTTTTAAATTGAAATCTAATACACTAATATAAAGCAGAAAGGTATAGCTTTAATGTTGTCAGTAAAGACAGATGCCAGTAAGTCCTTTGCTGTGGAATCCTGGAATACATCTAATTGCTCATGAATATGCAAACTAAAATATCACAATTCTTCACCAAATGCTGCAAGTAATTTTGTCTTGCTATTTGAGATGTCAGAATTACGAGAGGTAGTTTTTAGTTAACCTGAAGGGTGAAACAGTACATCGTATTTCATACAGTTCTGAACAAAAGTGTCTGCAGCTGATAATCAGATAGTTGCAGAGAGCTACAGTTTACAATCAATACATCATGCAGCTCTCCAGTGATGTGACACTGCTCACACTTCACACAGGACCTGTTTATGCTGAGACTGACACGTTATAAAGGTATATTTTCAGCAGCTTTTCTAGAATAATGTGGGATTCAAGTGACTGTGGAAGCTGTATGTTCAAAGTCTTTGAATTTCAGTAATAGGAATAAAACTTGCTTCTAAATCCTACTAAAATCTTAAACTTTTAAACTGTATAGAATCCCTTTACAGTATTTGAAATGGTGACTAATATTTCAAGGAAAATATTTTACACAAAAAACTAGAATATGTAAAATTACCTGTTCTTTTGCCAAATAATCTGCCAGGGTATTTAGGAGCTTGTAGTATACCTCAAACCATGGTAGGTAACTAAAACAGAAGGAAAAAAGTGTTTTAATAAAATATCAGTGTATTTCTCCAGTGCTTATAAAATACTACAATGATTGATCTGACTTGCAATTTTTATAACATCTCTACATACAAATAAAAAGCATCTCAACATTTTCCCCAAAAATTCAATGGCACATCACTGATAGACAGTATAGATAGATGGTTTCTTTATGCTGAACATTTGCATGAAGCTCCATTAATTGCAGATTAACTCATAATAATTAGACTTCTTAGTATTTTCAAAGGCACCAAAAAACCATTTGAAACAGTTTCTAATCTCATTCCCACTATCATTAATTGTTACAGATTTCAGAAGTTATTTCCAGTTTTGAAACTCTACATCTTCCTATACCCAGTGGGCTGACAGGCCGGCTGCTTCCCTGGAGAATGAAAAACAACTTTGGGCAGACCAGGTACCCCCTATTTGACAAGTGGTGAAATGCTGTGCAGTAGCAGAGATGTCACATTATATGTAAGAATACTGGTCTCCCTATAAAGTCATTTCTATTGATAAAATTAACTTCCAAAAATAAAATCATTCACCAGTATGGCAAACACAAACACATTAATACATCTATACTTAAGAGACTTTTAACACAAGTCTGCAGCCCATGAGCACAATACTCTCACTGAGTTAAACAGAATCCAAGACAAATAAGACATAACTGAAGACTACAAGAAAAGAAACTCCAACGCAGCAGTATTAGTTCCAATTTGCCTTCTGTTGACAGAAGTTCTCTTTAAGAGTGATATCATCAATGATCACATGCTACAGAACTTTCCACCATCACTATTTAAGCTATTAAGTCTGTTAAAATAAATAATAACAATAAAAATGTTATGTCTTATTTACAAGCTACACACTTTCACATCTCTGTTAGAATTCTATCACAAACATTACTGAATAGGTAACATTATAGTTAATATTAGTTGTTAGAGATTAGAAGGGGAAGCTGGAAAGGAAATAGTGCCTGAAAGGTTTTCAGAACATTTCATACCTATATATAACCCCACTACAGACTTCATTCTTCAGCGCAGTGTAAATCCACAGACATGCATTTCTTAAAGGCTTTAGCGCACACTGAGGACAGACCTTACATTACAAATGTGTATATTCCAGGAAATAGGCTAACTGCAACTGCAAAAACCTGGTAAGCAGAACCAAAATGTTTTCCCTGATAGGAAAAGGAAAGCTGTCAGGGGAAACCCTGGTAGAGAAGCCATGTAGTACTTTGTGCAGCAAGTCCAGTGAAGGGTTATGTTTTCTTTGTAACACCTCTACTTCTCAGTATGCAGCTGGCAAGGCTTTAGAAACAGGTCCTGATTCTTCGGGAAAAGAAAAAGCACAGCAGAAATCCAAACACAGTTATAATTAATGTATTTTCTAGGAATTTTGCTGTCTTTACAAATGCTTTACCTACTGCCTCCTAAAAAAAGGAAACCAACACCCCCTCCCAAAAAAAAAAAACAAAAACAAGCCAACCAAAAAAAAAAAAAAAAAGACCAAAAAAACCCCACAAAAATCCATCATGAATTTGCTCTTGCCAAGCCAAAGAGACAGAGGCAATGATTTAATGATTTCCTTTAACTCTACCATATAATGTCTTTATCACACTTTACCATACATTGTGCTGGCTATTTATCAAAACAACATCAACCTCTTAATGCTCACAGATGTTTTTGATGCTTGGTATTGCTGACAGTGGTTAAGGTGTGACATTATTACATTTGTTTTTCACTACTCTCTTAATATAATCCTAAAATTTACTTTAGTGCACCTTTGTAAGGCCACTCACGGCTTTCAGGTGTGAACATTCCATGTCCTCATGAAACACCCACCATATCAGCACCTATACATCTGATCTTGGAGCATTCTTTAACCTAGGACTCCTGTTCCGTAATCTTCTCAAATCATGCTCACCTGGTTTTACACATCACTGAAACACAGCACAGAGAGGCAAACAGAATTAATTGTTCGCTGCAGTGTTCAGAGTTTCTGCAAATGTCAAAGCTGTGGAACAACTTCACAGAATTACCCAGAATTACAGCAGGGACTGGAACACTGTCCTAGTATTTTGTCAAAGTCAAGGTACAAGGTGGGTAAAAATTGCAAAGTATTTGTATAACACTGCACACACAAATGGGTAAGACTACCTAAAGGCTTGCCAGTTTCCTGCTATCACCTGTGTTAACAGTATACATGACCCCAGCACATTTTGCTGTAGAATACTCTGAAATCTCATCTGATAATTTATTTTTGATAATGAACATGTATGAACAACATTCTATAAAAATAAATTCTATTTCAATAAAATATTAACCATACTTTTCTATATGCATGATCTCAGCTACCCTATTAGTGAGAAAGAAAAATTAAATGCAATTTTTATGCATTTAAAAAGGTCAAATTAATTATTTGAAATTAATGAACCCTAACAGAAAGCCAAGGGAGATTTGTATTTCATAGAGCAAGTCATGCTGACCAGACTACTTGCATAGAAATTTCTTCCTTTAGCAACACCAGGTAGATGATACACTTCCATGTCTTTGTGCAAATGAACCACTAAGGAAAACATCCTACTTGACCATAGTTTAACAAAGTCAGTTTCCTTTATGAGCTGAAATAATAGTGAAAGAATTGCTTTAAGCCTTATAACCACAGACACAAGGTTAATATCATTTCAATGTGTCTCTTAAACCTGAAAAAATAAGGAAATCAAAATAAGTACTCCATTTCATAATATGGCATGAAACCAGAGGCTGCCAGAACCTGTCCTCTGCTTCTTTTCTACATAATCTTCAGTTCTTCAATAGCACAGCCTAATTGCTAAAGCTTTTGTCAATATTTCTATTTATAACGTGCTTCAACAAAATATTACAAAGATCTACTGGAAAACAACAAAGTTCCCTTTATATTTTTATGTATTTACTAATTGCAATTCATTCAGGATAATCAAGAATTGTTATACCTGTTTTTTCATAAACAGTAAAGAGTGAATTTGCATGTGTGCATACACAATGCATCTCTGCATTCAAAGAAAACACAGGTGTGTTTGTTCATGATAAAGACACCACCAGGTGGTTTTATGCATCCTCAACTCTAAGACCAAGTCCAAGCTCTTTGCAATTTGTTAAATCCCCAAGGCTGTCAAGCAACACTTTTGTCCTCTTTCATCAAAGGCTAATTTTGGAAGCACGTTTGTTAATAATCCGATTAATTGATTTGGACTGCTCTAGTAAACAGATTTATTTGTAGATAAACACTGGATGATGTAGCCTTTACATCTTTATCCAGTATATAATATTGGACAAAGAATTGTGTATGGAATCCTAGAATCCTGTAGGTTGGAAAAGATCTGTAAGACCATTGGATCCAACCAACAACTCAGCATTGCCAAATCTACCACCAAACCACATCCCAAACACCGCATCTACCTGTTTTTTAAAATCCTGTCGGGATGGTGAATCCACCTGGAAGCCTTGTTCCAGTGCTCAACAATCCTTCCCACGAAGAAACTTTTCCTAATATCCAATCTAAACCTCCAGTGGTGCAACTTGAGGCTGTTTCCTCTTGTTCCATGATGTACTACCCAGGAGAGAGCCTGACACCCACTTGCTACCTCCTCTTTTCAAGTGGTTGTAAGGAGCTGTAAGGTCACCCTTGAGCCTCCTTTTCTCCAGGATAAACACCCCCAGCTGCTCCTGGTCAGGCCTGTGCTCCAGACCCTTCTCCAGCTCTGTTACCCTTCTCTGCACTTTCTCCAGCATCTCAATGCCCCTCCTGAAGTGAGTGGCCCAAACCAAACACAGAGTTCAAGGTGCTGCCTTGCCAGTGCTGAGTACAGGGGCCAATCCCTTCCCTGGTCCAGCTGGCCACACTATTCCTGATCCAGGCCAGGATGCCCTTGGCCTTCTTGGCCACCTGTGCCCAGCGGCTCTTGTTCAGCCACTGTCAGCCAGCACTGCCGAGTCCTTTTCCACCAGGCAGCTTTCCAGCCACCCTGCCCCAGCCCATAGCATGGCATGGGGCTGTTGTGACACAAGGACAGTACCCAGCACTTGGCCTTCTTGGCTTGTTTGGCATTTGTTGGTACGACAGCTAAAATCCAGAAGCATTTCAGGTCAAAGGATCTTCTGACCTTGTCCTGTTAACAAATGCTGCAAAATTATTTAGTCTTTGCTACCACAGTAGAACTCATCTTTGTAGAGAAAATTCATCCAGCACACAAATGTCCATCAGCATCTACTTGTTGGGTAACTATTTTTTTTCAAGACAGTACAGAAATGCATTGTCTGAAGCACATAGTATTTAAGTGGCTGAATTTGACAGAGGAGCCCTGTAATATATTACTCCTCCTAATTCAGAACTGGCAAACTAATATGTACACTAATATGTACCTTACACACTAATGTGTACCCTAATGTGTTAAGGTACACACTAATATGTACCTTAACAACAGAAAAAAATCAAAATTAAGGTCCATTACCAGAAAAACCTTACCACCATACCTGTATTCATAAAACTATTTATGAGCAGTCAGTCCATTTCATATTAATTAGCTGTCTTATGAAAACTTCTAAAGGTTATCAATGAAGCCCCTTCACAGTACAGAAAGCAAAGGAAAATCAGGGCTTTAATGATCAATTTTAATGTACTTGGAAGCATAAATTAATTTCAGTTCTTAAACTATGAAACCACTACTGCTTTCTTATTTTTCTTTAATTGTAGCCACTGTCCTTGCATTCCTCAAGTTATCATCAGTAACTGTTAGATAAACAAACATGGAAGACAAACGTAGGACAACATCCAAAAACATACAACAATTTCTCTAAATATTTCTTCCATAATAATGACAAACAATAAAAGCATAAACTATATTAATAGATCTATATTCCCTGATGGAGAATACAGGGGTCTTTATTTAAAAGTATAGCCCTGTCTGTCACAAAAGCAAGAGACCAAGATCCTTCACGGTTAATTAAAAACATACTTAGCATTTTCTCTTAATCCAAACGAGCCACAAGGCAGGAGCTCAGACTTTGAATAAAAGTCACACACAACCCTTGTTGCCATAAGTAGACTTCCACCTCACCGGTGCTTCTACTACAGCTCTGATAAAACTTTTACATTCATGAGTCAAAGGTTAAACAAAGGAGAGGAAATGTTTTCTGTCAAATAGTCAGGTAACCACTAACAGTCCTGAACTATCAGCAGGAATCTAACTTCTAGTAATCAAATAAAACTAAGGAAACTGCCTTTCCGTAGCTAAATGTTTAATGTCTAGGGGCTACTTTTCTGTCTGGAAAATTGACACAAAATGTGTAAAATTGAAACATTCTGCTTCTAAGGGATTTGCCTAAAGGAAGAGTGAAAAAGTTTCAACGTGGTCTGAACTAAAGAACTACAAAGCCTTACCACATAAACCTGTCTTCCTTATTAGAGCATTTCATTTGGAAACGTAGGTGACAATTTTACAGTCATAAAATTAACAAAATCTAAGACTGAGCATTTTAATGATGCATTTTGTGTTCCTCTGCATACCTAAGGTCAACTTCAGAGTCCATCAAGAGTTTCAAATTATTTATACTTTGTACTAAAACCATCCAGGTAATTCAAAATCAATTTCATGTAAACCCAGAAAGTATTATTTGCACTGCAGGCAGCAGTGATACTTAGAAACAAAACCCAGAAGAATTAAGTCTACTATTATTCAAAAGCAGACAATCAAGTTTCTACTGCACCACTTCAAATCTCAACTAGCAAAACTATTACCCAAAAACAGGAAAAGTAAAACTAGGAGAAAAGATCCAGTATAGGATATGAGCTCAACAAGGTATTGTAGAATATGCCTATTGCGTATCCCTTGTCTTACAGGACTGCATTAGCTCAACACACTGTGGAGACAGAGAAGGTGACACAGCAGGATTCACACAGAGAACTTCACGAAGCAGTCATGTAGCTTAGTGAAAAGCTCTAAATTAAATAAAACCTGCAAAAGAATCACACAGCATTTCGGGAGAATAATCCAAGAGTTACTTTCTCATCTTACTGCGGTTTAGCACTTCAAATTTGGCAAATGCAGTCAAGCTCTGCACATTCATTCCAGACAACACAATATCACAATTAAGTTTTTTTCAAACAAAAATGCCTGAGAAAGCTACCTTGGGAAATTTTTATTTCACTTTATAAACACAGAGAGCATTTGAACAATACATTCTGATTTGGAAGAAAATCCTATTTACACAATTTATATACATGTGTACATAAAATGCATTAAAACTCCATAAAACTTATAGAGGAATTTTGCATGTACTAGTATATTTTCTGTTTCAAACTACCCAATTTAAAGCAGGACCATGTGGCTGCAAATTCAGAGATAATTTCCTTTAATTAGTGTTTCAGATGGACAATGAATTATAGAGCGAAGTCTCATAAATCACGATGACTTTAATCTTACATGCAGCTTTGAGTTGCTGGTGTAAAACCTGAGGACAAGCAGCCTTTACTTCAGCTTTCAGTTAAGAATCCCATTCAGCAGTTGAAATTCTATCTCTTTAGAAGCCCTGGCAGAGGTTAACACGTGGCTTGGTACTATCCACAAAGGACACATACAAGGGAAAAGCTGTGTCCTGTTGCCCACTCAAACATCTACAGCATTTCCTTCCAGTCAATTTGACTGGCTTGTTCCTGCTTGTCTTAAAAGATTTTTAGTTACATTTCAGTTATTTATGACAATTCAACTAAGTTTTCTGTATTTAACTATCTCTAATTGTCTTTGTCAAAGCCTCAGTCAGTAATCTTATTACAGTCCTCTTGTCCAAGGGGATACATCCATGTGCACAGGAGAAGGCAGTTTGACATGGCATTCCTGTACACCTGCACCTGTGCGTTTATAGAAAAGTCCATGGCTGTAGTGCACACACTTGTGATGAACAAGTAGTCTGAACTGCCCATACATCAGCCATCATGTGTATACACACAGCAAATATAATTTTATGTGGTTTTGATATATGGACAAAAGCGAGGTTGAACATGCACACACATTCTTCACATATAAAGACAGCATTCTTTTTTTAATCATTATTTTGGTTCATTTAAGAACAATAAGAATGTGCAAAGTAGATAAAATGCCCAAAGAAATCTGCTAAGTGAGTCCTTCTTTCACTTGGTCACTTCTAATGAATCTTGGGATTCAGAGAAAAAGCCAGACCGGCTACTAGAACATATCACATGGAAATAGTGCTGCATTCCTTCCAGCTAAACACAACACAACACAACGCACACATTCTGGAGATAAGCAGAGTACCCAGCCACGAGAACAGTGCTATGAAGCTACTGCTGTTATGCTTTCACCTTAGCCTTGTAAATTTGAAATTGTCACAATAAAAGCAATAAAGGCAATGCTTTGGATACGGTTCAGTGAAAAATTACAGCTTGCCACTTTTCATTTTCCTACTTATTTCTACCAAGTAACAGACCATTGAATAATCTTTAGCTGATGCACGTCTGTGGTGATATGTTAAAAGAAATACCCAGTTTACACCAGCTGAGAATTTACATCCTTGCTTTGCAGCACTCCATGCAGTACTTAAATGCACTTGAGTGTGCATAACTGATTAGATGTTGTTACAGCCACACAAACAATGCAAAAAATTTTGTTTCTAGCTTGATGAGGGAAGAAAAGATTAACTCACAGAAAAGAGCTAAAAGCACACACATATATTTTCACTCTGGGCTTTAATAAGTTATATTAAAAAAAAGGTATCACAGAGAAAATGGCTAAATATTACACATTCCAAAAGCCTAAGACTTAAATCCTTCTGAAGTACTACTAAAGGCATATTTCAAAGATCGCAGAAAGCAAATTAATTTCCAGAATAAAATATTTCCCTTTTGCTACTTTCATTATATGGTAGGGTTTTTTTGTAATTTTTAGAGCAAACATTTCTTTTTAAATTACTTACCAAAAACATTCAGTGTACTGACTCTCAACATTAGTTTGGCATCTGTTTAAAATTTCTTTAAAAACTTGATGTGCTCTTAGCAATAATTTTAAGCACTACTCTACAAGTCTCTATATTGGCTGGTCTTTTTTCCCCTCAGTGTTCATTTTCTGATAATCCCTTTACAAGCTGATGTTGGGTTTTTCTCCCTAATTCACATGGTCTATCCTAGTGACATCGACCACAACTACCCGATTTCCATGTTGCCCAAAAACCTGAGACCTTGCTTTTCTCCATATTCTTCCTACCCTGTTCTCCAAAATTCTCTCTCTCATTTGCTGCCAATGCATTTGGCTCCTCCTCTCTTATGTTTGTCCAGATTCTTGCTTTAAAAGCAATTTAAATTCAATTTTGTTCTTCCTTTTTGCTGCTGAACTAAATATTCCTATTTCCTCTATTGAGCTTGCAGGCTGCTAGGTTCTTAATTGAAGTTGCAAATTTCTCTTTTAATGAGATCACTCTTAATTTAATTACAATGGTTTTAGGACAGCTAAACAAATTGGGGTTTTTTGTTACCAAAACAATTATCTTAAGAGAGAAGAAAGAAAAAGCAGAGAGAGAAACAAACTATTTCTTTGGGGTCACTCTCCCCAACATCAGTATCTTCACTGCAATAAAACAGCATGCTCTTGTGAACTCTCTGGATCTATTGTTTCTTACATTAGATATTGTCTAGGCAGAAAACTTGGAACAGACACCCAAAAATCTCCTTTCCAAGGACAGGAATACAGAATAATGAACTTCATTGCTGAACTGCCAGAGTGCTTGTCAAAGATCTGATTAGAAAGTAAAAATATCCACATAACAGTCCAAGCCTCTAAGGCTGCAATGTATTGTTCTCTGCATTTAAGCAGAGATTTCATGTTATTTGAATAAAATTAAGTTCACAGAAGAATACCATCATATGGGGCTTGAGGCCACTTTTCATGTGAAAGCAATGGTAACACTGCCATAGAAAAGCAACACCCCTGATAGCAAAGCTAAATACATTAGCAGAGAATTTGGAAAAGATAATTTTTTTCTTGTATTTTCCATATTCACTCATTGAGTCAATTTTTATCGTGCCACCTTACCTTAGGATACAGAGGCAGACCTTGCCTCCTGACGTCAAACGGCAGAATCCAAACCTTTGCTTACTTTCAATGTCAGTGAGCACAAAGGTGAAATGCTGTCCTACTTGGTTTTGGGACACCCTGAAAAAACAGATACAGAGCATAAAACCATTAAATCACATAAAACATGAGCATTTAAGTCATTGGTCTTAAGTATTTTCATGCTCAATCCTCACTATAATCATCAATACAATTTTATTGTCTGCTGTTCTTTTCCAGTTCTTACACAATCTTCTACAGCAGAATATCTAAGAGTCTGCCAGTAATGATTAACACCTGCCATTTCTGGTTCAATCTTAGATGACCACGCTGAAAATTAATTCCCAGAAAAGCTAAAAATCATCACAGACCCCAGTCTACCAGTCAGAGAGCACAAATATTTTTTAAATTTATCCCCTGCAATATGGGGCAGGGAGGTTGTTAAGGTTTTGCTGATTGGTTTGGTTTTTTTTTTTTAAATCTCCAGCAGAATAAAACATAGAAAATCTTCACCCTAGGGAAAAAGAAAGCAGCAGTTGATCAAAGGGCAAGAGAAGCTACATAGGACACAGGGATTTTTTACTGTTTCAGACGTGCATGACAAAGGTTTAAAAATTAGCTATCTGGTTACCACTACCCAGCCTGTAGAGTCTCCCACTCTTTTCAGTTTAGTTTAGCCCCTCTTGAACATAAAGTGACTAAGACGAACCAAAAGCCTGTACTGAGCATACAATATTAGAAGATACACTTACTCCAATATAATCACCCATAATTAATGGACTTTTTTCCATTAGGTAATTAAACTCAAATCATTAAAACAAGCACTTTCCTCAGCTGCCTTCAGCAGCCTGAAATGATCTAGTGCTCTCTTTAACCACTGTAAATACTCAATGGCTTGTGCCCAGTCCCTCCCTGCTCAGGTTCTGGGGAGCCGGGATGCTGCACGCTGCACTGACACCACAGAGCCATCAACAACCTGGCCCTACTGCACCCCTGCCACCCCTGTGGTGTCCTCTGCCACCTCTCTGCACTTTGCTCCTACCTGCAGAGAGCAGACTGCCATAGAATGTGCTGTGTGGTTTCAGCACCCCTGTGCACCCCGGGGCTCCCACAGAAACCCAGCAGCAGCCGCTCAGCTGGAGCGCTGGAAATGCTCCAAGCAGTGACCTTGGCTGCCTCTGCTCCCACCCTCTCTCAGCTCAGCCATGTCCCACTCTGAGCCCTGGAGCTTCCAGCAGCCAGGCCTGGCTTCTCCTCACACCATGGAACACCTGGCAGGGTTAGGCTGGAGGCTCTGTGCACAACCATACTAAACCAAATTGGTTTTAGTGTACTGTGTACACCTCTGTCAGGCAAAATGTCTGTACACGGGGCCACTTTAAAAATGAGACATAAATTCTGATATTTTCTAATAAAAATAGCCCAGCCAAGTTATGAGTTCAGCAGGAAGCATTTCTGATGCCACCTCACCATCTCCAAATCACAATCTTCCCTTTTCTTCTTTAAGAGAGGCAACTCCATGTTTGACAGTCAGCGTAAAAGTGGCCCAGCTTGAAAACTGCTTCCCACACAGTTTAGGAAGAGATGTGAGCAGCAAGTCCCAGATTTTTAATTTGAGAAACACTCCAAGGCTAAAACTGAATTTCCACAAGAACCCAAAAATTTGCATTTGGTCCCGTTTGCTTCAAAAGAACAGCTAACAGAAGCCAGTGACCAACCATCCATCTGGACTACATTTTCTGTTCAGTTTAAAATACTGAATTAATTCTGGGTTTCTAATTTGAGAGCTCCACTTAAGATGTGGGGGCAGCAAGTTTGCCTGTTTTTCTACTCCTCTTCAGCAGAATTAAAACTGACTATATGTAAGCCTTACTATGAAAAACAAATGATAATTGGGGATTTCAATTGATAGATGACCACAATGTATAAACCAGATACATAAAACATTCCACAAGTGCTAGCACTACAGTTTTAACACATATATAACATGTTCCATCATGCAGACAAACACTGGCCAAGTGATTTGGGGTTTGTGCCTCTCTGTTTCACTGCAGCACATTCAGCTTGTTCAGAACTCAAGTCTCCCTGCAGCAACAGGCAGCGGCTCCTGACTCTGCTACCTGGACCACAGCATTGATGCCTCTCAAGTTTTCTTAGTATGAAAACCGGCACAAATAAAATGAAATTATCATATAACAGAATTCCCTCAACAAAATGTTATCCAGACTTTTTAGTGGAGCACAAGATTAAGTAGTCCAGCTGCAAAACCTTTCTGCAGAAAGTTGGTCTAGTCAGCTGTTTGAAGGAAGCATGATCTACTCCCTTGAAGGGGAGAGCAGGCACAAATCGTTCCCAACCAGTGCTGACATTCTCCTCACTCTTTCCTCTGCCTTGCTTTTGACTTAGTTTCAACTCTTGCCCTGCATGCTTACTTTTAATGTTAGTTCAATAATAATAAATCACTAATAATGAAGAATGTGTGTAAATACTTATTAACCCTGCAGACTACAATGGGCTCTTTCAAGGTTATTACAGTTCACTATAGAAATAAAAATAGGTTTTCAAATTTTCTGTGTACCTACACAATGCAGAAAAGGCTCTTTAGTACCCATGGAGTAGGTAAAGAGTAATTTTAAAGATTTTTGTTTACACTACAGTCATTGCTTAGGCCTCATTTTAAGGGAGCCTTGAGAGAGTTGATTAAGGCAGGAACAGCATCTCTCCTTCAAACAAAAAGCAGCATATCTAATCACTAAATTTATCCTTTGCTCTCCACAAAAACTGCTCTTCTTCCAGATTATTTTGTTTAGGATAGAGAAGATGTTTGAAATTATATAAAATACCATGTACATGTCCTTGACCAATATAAATAATATACACATTTCTGACTGAAGGTTTTATGGCTGCTACTTAAACCTGAAAGTTTCATACGTATTACAATTCTCAAACTGATAGAGAAAACCAAACCCATCAGTTACCAGTCAGTCATCCTAATTTCCCAAATCAAAGAACAGAATAGAAACTGCTTCAAGCAGGAATTTGAAAACCAGATGTTAAGGTGGTGGTACAAGCTGATGGAGAGACTGGGGAGACAGTAACACCAGGCTGGGCATTCTCCTTCAGCTAACTGCTATCCCCAAATCTAAGCTTCAAGGCCTATTTTCTTCACTTCCATGCCCATTACAGGATCCACAAGCCCAGAGCTCAGGTTCTCTGTGTGGAGAGCTCCTCTGTTCCAACCAAGCTGTCTGATTTGAGCTCTGCCTCCCAATTCAGAAAAAAAAAAAAAAGTAACAGGAGAAAAACTGCAGAAGATATGAAAATGGACAATGCCACCACCAAGTAAGAAAATTCCCACAAATAAAAAGCACAGTTAGCTTATTAATGGGGTTATGTTTTCATAATAACAGAAGCATTTAAAGAAACCACAACTACTGAGTAAAGAGTCTCACTGTGAGTATTCCAGTTGCAACAGAAGCCTGTCTAGAAGCTCTGTCTCAGGGCCCTGGCCATCACACCTGGCCAAAGGTGTATGGGAGCACACAGCAGCTCCCTCAGCATTCCAGGTTTCCTCTCAGACAAGTTCACTTCTGCACACCCATGGAAACCAAACAACCCCTGTGTGAAATCAATAAGTACACTCCTCACAGCACACACTGCAGCCTGTCCTCACACTTGTCTCACACACACACATTCACTGTTACACAAACGTGCCATAATACAGTGAGACACAAGATGAAAAGAACTCAGTTGTGTGTAACTGCTGCTACATTTTTGAGTTTGCAATCCCCCTTGCAAACTGATTGCAGTGCCTGAAGGGTACAAGAAATGCTACAGTTCATTTATCTTCACCCGCACAGCTTGAAATACTTTCTTGATTATTTACTTTTCATTCTCAACTATTTACTCTGAAGGCAACATTTTTGTGTAAGATATCTTATAACTGCCTTTCACAAGATCTGCAAATTCAATGATTTCAAGGCATCATTTTGCACTTCTCTTATCATAGCTGTGTTTCTGCACAGACTTTTACCACAAATACCAACAGAAACGGCATCAGCCAGGAACAGGAGAGTGACAGTGATGTCATTCCTGCTATCATTACTCACTCACCCTAAAACATTATGAGTTAAATAACCTGCATGGTAATTCCCACACTCGAGTGACATTCTGCTGGTAAGGAGAAACCCCCTACAGCGGCAGCACCATTGATTATCCTCCAAAATCCAACACTTGCCCGTGACTGGGTGAGCACCATGGGGAAATTAATGTGGTACACATCACTGTCTCCATGCTGGTCCTACAGGCAGTTCCCAAAAGAGTATCTAAAAGAGGCTTGTGTGCTGCACATTCAGCAGGAGAAATGCATCCTGAAAGGGAAAAGACTGAGGAATGAAAGGAGCAAGGGAAGTACTTATGGTGGAGAGAAATGGCAGAGGCTCAAAGTACAGATAAAAATGAGGGGTCAAGCAGTGACATAGCACAACTTCAGGCTGAACATGAAATGCTCCAAAAGGAACAAGGGAAGTTGCATCCTCACCAGTCATCACCCAGTTACACAACTGATGGATGTGGAGACTGGCATATGGACTCTGCAAAGTCACACCTGAGCTCTGGGTTGAGAGGGAAAATACAAAAGGCTGCTGGAGAAAGAAAAGTGAAGCAAACCATGCCGGATTTGCACCAAGGACTCAAGCAACAAGAGAGAACAAAATGCTTTTGTCTGAAGCATTAATATTGCTTCAGCAAACATTGAAAGGAAATAAAAATCTCTGTCCTCAAATGTTAAATCTTCCTAGACCATATAAAAATAAATAAATGGAGTACCAAAGAAAAGGATCTTTCTTTGTAAATACATACATGCAAACTGCTAGAATATTATATACTTGTGCCATTATTAAATAGAAAATAATTTATTCACAGAAAGAGACATAGGTACTTGGAGCAAATGCTAAAGAACTTCTATGATGCAATTAATTTCTTAATCTCTTTAAAATAAAATGTCAGTCATAACTAGAAGTAACATTTTACATGTTTGTTTTCAATAAAAAAATTTATATAAAGCTCAAAGTTTAAGTCATGGTCAAAGAATTTTTTTTACACCATTGTGCCTCTTTTGGCTTGACTTTCAGTTTCAATTTAATGGGAGTTTCCTTTAGATTTTTAATTACCACTCACAGTATGTACTTTTGATAATTAGTGTGAGTAGTGTACAGTTATTTATAACATCTGCATAAGGTATGCCCGGTGAGATGATGCAAGCAGCATCAAACAGTGAGAACTAAATCTGGATCTCTATGATCATTGCAGCAAAGTAGAAAAAAGAAAATCCAATAGATGATCTCATTTCTTTTTCAATTCCTTAAGTAATTAATACAGGCGACTTGAAAGAAAATGGGTGACAGCGATCTTACTACTGCTGCTTTAACTTTCCTTTCTCCATAATTTGAAGAACACAGATTTTCTACTTTATTTAGTTTTACTTAGCTGGATAAGAGAATTAACACTCCATTATCTATAACTCTGCTGTGTAGTAGAAACCCAGAAGGAATCCATGTAACAGTCACATTTTTTAAGTAACTATCAGAATCACTGGAAGTCACTACTTTTGCACTAGTAATTTCTAGCTCTTAATAGGCTCAGACAATGCTTGAAGTATTTAATATTCATAAATATACATATCCTATATATATGTATATAAATATTTATCTATTACAGGTTGAGAAGCTATGCTCTCTGCAGTACAATACGCTCAATGAACGAAATAGATATTTTCTATTTCAGTTCAAATGTTTCTGTACGGAAATGGTCATTGAAAATGCCTGTAAAACACCTGGGAGTATTAGGTGCACCATCTATCGTGATCCTATATACAAGGGGAAAACTATATATACATATATACATTGATCAGACAAGGGAAAGCATATGTATGGCTAGACAAACACTAAAATGATTGTAACATCTTAAATCTCCAGTAGAAAAAAGCCCTATAAAAAGGAACTTCAGCAGCGTTTTTTCGATCCTTTTCTTTATCACTCCACATGTCAAAATAAAAATCATTAAACTGAGAAAGCAGAAGACAACTAGTTACGTTTAAAACAATTGGTAAGGTGTGTCTACACTACAGAAAACACCGGAGCTGAGTATGAAATGGCAAACACATCATGCAGCCAGTAAGTTGTTCACACAAACAACTCGCCAGCAACAGCTCCACTTTCCTGAACGAGCTTCCAGCATATCTGTCCTTTGCTCCACAATAGATCTGCTGCTCCTCATCCATGCTGTTGCACTCCCATGATCCCAGCTGCCTTTGGTTCTCCCTGCAATCCCTCTGAACTCGGCTCCAGCTCCGCAGGGAGCGGGGCACTGCCTGAGCAGGCTGCAGGCCAGACTGAGCAGCCCCACTCACTCCTCCCAGCACAACCCCAGCTTCCAGCAACCTCCACTCCTGGCCAGCTGACAAGTTTTATGAAATTTGTAGAAATTTTGCACTTTTGAGAATGCTGCTTTACAGTCAAGCATGAAGCCAACAGTCAAAAAGCATTTCCGGGGAGAGGGCACAGGGGGGCTTAACAAACAACAAACTTGCTTTCACTTTTTCCTTTTTGTCCCCTTTATCTTTGCTTTTTACCCCCGCATATAATCAGCAAAAATACATACTTAGCTATGCTAGAAATTCAAGTATTCCCACAGTTTATTAAGTTCATTCTCTTCATACCAGCAGATAAGTGTCTTCTGAATGGTTCAAGAGAAATAGTTACAGTAAGACAACTTATTTGAAAATAATTACTCACTGCCACTGATTATCTTCTTGCCACTGGATGGCAGCAACAGAACCTCACCTTTTTCTGTTATCCTCAAATTTTATTTCCATTATTCATCTTCATTACCAATTTTAAACAGAATTCTGTACATATCTTAAGCATATTAAAGACTTTAATGCTTTAAAGCCAACCACTGACAACCATATTACTTAAGTCATTAAAACAGCTTAAAGGACAGTGAGCTTAGCCAGTTCAAAACCCAAACAGCTTAATTAAATTCAGCTATAAAAGACTAAATAAGCCTAGTTTACTTCAGGAAAGTTGTGTTTATAAAGATCGTTATTTTGCCAGTGTGTTTTGCTGCAAAGACACTCTTCTTTCCTCTCTGCACACATCAGCTTTTCCTCTACTGACAGCAGCTTCTTGCATCTGATAGATGCTTCTCATGTCCAACTCACCATCTACAACTGATGCTCATGGTGCTCTGAAATTGGCTCAGCCTGCACATTACCTGGGTGTATCTTTCATTAATTATGCAAATCAAGCTTTTAATTCAATCTTTGCCAATTCAGACAATACAGGTTTTCCAAACCAAGTGAGTTCAATCTATTAAATAAATTACCATTAATCATTTTGACAAGACCAAATAAATATTTTCATTAATAAAAACATTTTATATGAACAATTTAAATGACTGGCAGCATTATATGAAAACCAGACTATAACTGATACCAGAAAGGTAAGGACTAATTAATTATAAATAATGGTCTGGATTCTTTTCTGAGAAAAATCAATTGCATATTCAACTACTTCCATGTAATTAAAGTCTTAATTTCTTTGAACTCAAACAACACATTTTCTGTACTGCTCAGTGAGTTTTTATATCCTGGTGCACTGTAACATTTTTAATGAAGCTGCTTACAGGAAACTGTATTACATCCTTATACTAACACAGATGGTGCTCACAATTACAGTGTACAAAACTGAGAGTTGGAATGCAGCTCCACCTGAACAGATATATTCCTAAAATTCTGTAAGGATTACATTTTGCTGTGATAGTTTCCTACTAGTGACTTCATACTTACTTGAACAAAGGGTACGTTTTCTCTTCTGCAGGTGCAAGCTTAGGGAATACATTACATTTGCCTTTTCTTTAAATCTTTGCTTGCAATTATGCTAAAAATAATTTTCTATAAAATATCTTTAAATAAATGATAACTGTAGCACATACCTTTCAATGTCAAAAGGAAAGCAGAACTTTGGAACGCTGTTCAGCACTTCCTGAAAATACAAGCAAAAGAAATTAAGTTAGGGGTTTTTTGAAAAGGCTTTTGAAAGGTTTGCTTTTAAAAAAAATGGCCAAAAATACTCATAACAAATAATAAGTTCAAGGAATATATGATTAGAAAAAGTACAGCACACGTTCCAGGACTGAAATAATTGATTATTAAAAAGGAATTAGGTTTGTGCTTTGGCAGATTGCAAAGACAATGCCATAGAAGCCCCAGGAGGGAAAGGCCTGGCCTGAAGGGTATTAACACCCTTCACATCCCCGCTGGGATTCCCTTCAACAAGGCCATATGGATTTTACAAGAAGCACCACACCATATGGGTAAGCCACGTCTGCTGCTACTTGTACCACAGACTAGCCACAGGGACTTCTGACAGATCCTGGCTCAAAAATACAAATGTTGTTTCAATTAAAATGCAGGCAGAGAAAAGGGAATGAAGTTGGCAGCAGAATGAATTACAGAGAGGTATAACAACTCTATACATGTTCCATAGTCAAATGCTGAAAGTGATGGAAATCGCCTACTGGTCCAAAGCAGAAATTTATATGATTAACCCTTTGGGTCTTACAAGCAAGCTTTGCTATCAATAAAGGAAAGGGGGTGGGGGAGAGCAAAATCCACCAGATCTACATTCATACCACAGTATGAAAGGATAATGTCTCTCTCTCGTGCAGAATTTTATTTAAGAAGCTGTTTAGTGGCAAATAAAATGTGTTAATTAAAATATAAAAATGCTCTCAAACTAGTCAACGTTTTTCTTTTAAAAAAAAGTGAATTACCAGATCATTTAGCAGCAAATATTAAACAACGACTTTACAAGATCCTAGAAAATAGGTTTTATTTCCCTGCTCCCAGCTGGGAAAACAAACCCCCTGTGAAATACTTCAGCAAGAAGAGACAGTTGACATCCATGCAGTTGGACAAAGCTGCAGAATTCCTTTTTTGTAGCAGCCCAACAGACCTGTATTTCTGTATACAAGAGCTGGCCTGCAAGGTTTGTTTTCAGAAAAGAGCACATGGATTACAAATTTCCAGGGCTGCACAAGAGGGCTTAAGAAGCTGATTTAGGGTGTTAGCACTGCAGCCTGAACACCCTGTTTACTGCAAGTTGGACAGCCAACTCCCATTAGGGGAAATTCTGCATTTAATTCATACACACTACAATGACCACTTACTTCAAACACTCACCAGGCTCAGTGGATAGTGTAAAATACAAAGAGCCCACACAAGTTAATTAGCAAGAAAGGAAGAGATCAGGAAAAAGACACCTGTGACTACAACATGCGTACGTTAGCTCCAACACTGTAAGTGTATATGATGTGCCTCAGTAAATCTTCATGTGATACTAAATCAGGAAGTCAATGTTTTTAGAATTTCCAAGTCATACAAGAGATTTCAAGAAATCTTTAGAACTTTTTCTTGGTTGGCACAGTGCACAAAAGCCACAGATGTGTTTTGGGAAAGGTTATGAACTCCATTAAAAACAACAGTAGTACATAGAATACTCTTCAAAAGGAACTGCTCAAGTACCATCCTACCTGCTCTGAGTGCCCACTGCAGAAGGGTGAGAAGTAAAATATAAACAGGACAGGTAAGCATTTGATTTCTGCAGTCAGGAACAAGCACGCACAATGCGAGTAGTAACAATAAAAAACTCTAACAAAAGAGAGCAAGCAGAACAGGCTAATCAAAACTTCTAACTCAGAAATTTCCTAAACATTTACAAACAGTCTTTCACTTCAGGCTCATAAAGCTTGTTCCAAAGAAATAGTATTTAATTCTTCTTCTAAATCTGCACCTATTCTCACACTATAGGAAGTAATTTTTCTCCTCACTAACAAGGATTTTAATTGCTGCCTGGTGAGCTTAGCACTGACTCAGAATTGGGTATGGAAATGTATTCATTTATGTTCCCCATTGTATCATCTCAGAATAAATTATCACGAGAGGAAAAGAAAACAAAAACAAAAAAACCGAAGGTATTAGCTCAATATTTTGACTGAAGAACCTGGAAATTACGGGTGTGTTTTGCAGCGGGGCCCGGGCCGAGCACAGGCCAGGGCTCCCCCGGCGCCGCCCGGCCCTCCCCAGGCGGCCACGCACGCTCAACTTCTGCGGAGCGGCCTCCGCTCGCTTCCCAACTGGCAGGAGCATCCCTCGGGGGACAAGTCTTTAAACCTCCGCTCTCTTTAAAATTCAACCAGCCAGCAGGTCTATAGACTGGTGTATAAACAGTATAGACACACACACACAAAAAAAAAAAAAAAAAAAAAAAAAAAATCCTCTCCCAGCTTATGTCAGTGACAAAGCAGCTCAGCAGTTGACTGCTTCTCCCCTGACAGCATAAGCCGGGTTTACACAGATCAATAGATGGAAGTCCTACCTAGCTTCCAGGGCTCCGTCTTCTCTCTTAATTACAGGTGCTAGTCAGAATTTTCAAATGGAAAAAATGAAGCCCCCAAGGTGCTTCTAGATGATTTTAAAATGTAAATGATATTATACAGACACATTTGTGTACATATTTGTGTACAATTACAACTGGTACTCGCAGCAATCTCTCTATTGGATAAAACTGGAGCTCTGTCTCCTAACGGGTCATCATTTTCAAGGCTCCCTAACCAGCCAGGACTTCCTCCTGAGTCAATATTTACACTCTCAGAAAAAGAATAACGTTATTTGTTGTCTTTTATATTCACAACCTGATAAAATTGTATAAAAATTGATAAATGTATTTATTTCTGAAGGCAAAAGGTTGTACAGGTCTTCAAAAAGCAAAATAGTTTGATTCACGTGTCCCAGGATTATTTCCTCCTCTGGCTCTCACAGAATTAGCGCTTTCAGAAATGGTCCTTGTGTCACAAACAAGGTGTGTACAGGGGGAAGATGATAATGATGCAAAAGAAAAAAATTAAAACCCACACAAGTAAAATTATCTATTTGCTTTTAAACACCGACTAAATATCTACAGGTGCATAAAAATTGTGTTTAATTGCTAAGTTAAAGGATAACTATCTCATTCTTAATGCAAACTCCAAAAGAAAGAAGAAAATCATAAAAATAATATCATGTGAACTGTGACGTGCTGCTTCCCTTGAAAAAAGCTTAAACAAAGCCAGAAATTTACAAAAATACTTGCTTTATACCTACAGCACAGCAGCAGAACCCTGCACTCTCACAGGCTCATGGGGCAATGGTTTATTAATTCACCCTCATCAGCTGCACTGTCCAACTCCAGCCTGGCCTGGTCATGCTCACTGGCTCTACAGTGGAAGGATATTACAGAAGCCTCAAAGGTAGGAACTATTTAGTGTTCCTTGCTTGTTTTGGTACCCACTCAGCTAATTCTGTGCATCACCATTTTATAAAACAATGCAAACAACAGTAGTAGAAGATGCTTCTAAATTCATACATGCCAGCTTTGTGGGAAGAAAGGTTCTGATAACTTCATAGTCTGGAAAGAAACATGGTCAGTAATTAACTGACCAGTTGAGACACTTTTGTCTTCGGATATATCAGATTTTCCTCTAGATCTAAAGACAAATTATGAAGAATTTCCTGAAACTGTTCTACATAAAAATTAATACCTCATAGTAATACTAATTGTCTTGCTATTCATATCCACAGGGCAGTCCCACAAAAGTCCTGTGCACATCTCACGATTTCATTTGCAGTGTGACACCACAGGATGAGTGTAACACAACTGTGTGATGTGGGAGTCTCAGTGTGGGTGGCAAAACACAGAACCCTAGATGTGCTCTCTAAGCTCTATCTGCTGCAATACTTCTATTCACAGAAGATAGATAAGAAAATTCGTGCAATTGCAGCTCCCTAAAAATAGACCTGGTCTTTCCAGTTAACAATTTTCAGACTAACTTGCAGATAGTGCTGTGGTTTTTGACAGTTCTTTCTATGTCAATACAGCTGCCACGTAACACTTCATACATCCCTGACAAACATGCAAAGAGGAAGGAGATTCTGGACCACGTAGCAGAAGTTGTCACTAATGGATTGAAGCAAGATTAAAATTCCACTAAACTGAGCTACGTGTACATTTCTACAACCACAGATTGTTTTGACCCACAGAACAAATTCCACTCCACTGCTGAGAACAATTTTTGATCCTCTTTTAGTTGGCTAACATGTAAACCACAACTGGAAAGGCCCTACAGCCTAATGACTGACATTCAGAGCAATCATGTTGCTCGTAATACTTAAGCACAGAGCCCTTTAGAATACTTGCTCTTCAAAAGGTGCTTGCATCACTCAGAAGCTTATTCAGAGAAATACCCATTGTGTAAAATGATTAAGAAGCTGAATACCTGCAAAGGAGGATGAGATCACTTACAGAATTTCAGCTAGATTTAATTTCTCTTGTTCCTGCTTCCACCTGGCCACCATTCAATTACATGCTTCAGGAGGAGATGCCAGACAGGCAGCTGAAGATTTTTAGTAGCTTTGTCTGGTAACTTTGTGCTCTACACAGCAACAAGGGCACAGGTAAGGGCACAGATAGATGAGGCAGCAGGACAGGAAGACTTTAGACAACAAGGTAATAGGATGAGCTTGAGATCTTAGAGAAGCAAAATCACACCAACTACTCTCGTAGAGATGGCAGTGGAGGCCCCAAGGTCAGCTGTACCTGTGACTGAACTTGGAGGTGATTGTTGCAGCATCACTTAGAACCAACACCATGTTAAATACACACAAAAAAGGAATGAAAAAAACCCTAAGGACTGGAAGAGTGAAGGACCAGGATGTGGTGCACTCCAGCTGGAGATATGCTACAGAATGTTCTTGCCCTGTAGAGCAGACTAAGCTGCTGTCCCAGGCAGTACCCTTTTTACTGCTCTCACAGCAGCTTTCAAAGGCACTCCACAAGAAGGAAAGCTAATCCTGCACAATTAATCTCACTGTCCTACAAGACTGAGGCATAAGACTTTCTAAACTACCACAGAGAAAGTTTTAAAATTCAGAGATTTTACTAAATTA